ATCCCTGGCAGCGTTCAAGGCCAGGTTGGACACAGGGGCTTGGAGCAACCTGCTCTAGTGGAAGGTGTCCGTGCCTGTGGCAGGGGTTGGAACTGGGTGAGCTTTAAGGTCCTTCCTAGTCCAGACCAGGCTCTGATTCTGTGATTCATAATAAAAAAAAATAAATGGTAAAACCAGTCAAGGAGTTGGTCAGGTCAGTGCCCCAGCTGGTGCTGGGCATGCTCCCAGTGCTGAATGCTGTACTAACTTCGAGGCATCTGATGCTAAAGAGCCTTCAGTGGTTTTATCTCTTGCCTGTCCCCCCACCTTCCATCATCATATAGTGGTACCACTGCCCTGGTTCCCTCCCCAGACCAGCACTGGGAGCTGTGAGGGTGCCAAGCCCTGGAGAAACTGTGAAGGATTCGTGTCAAATTGCGCTGAGGTGTTCTAGTGTGTTAACCAGGATCTTACTGGGTTCAGAAATGGCTTTGTACCATGTATAGCTCTCACCCTGGTCAGGACAAACTGCTGTCATGGGGTAGGTATTGGGCTGTACCCGTTCAGGCTTCCTGGAGTCAGGAAACATTGCTAATGGCACATGTATGAGCTGCTCACCAGCTGATCTGAGCTAGAGAACATATTTACCCAGGTAGGAGCTGGATCTGAAGCGTTTTGGACTGTCTTGCCCTTGCAAAAGCTGCATAAATAAAGAAGGAGAAGCAGGAACTGAAAGCTGAAAATTCTCCTCCCCATCAGCACGGTTATGCCATCCTTGAGGAGCAGAAGTCCCCTTCCTCTAGGACTCTGATACAGGCTGAGCTTGCTGGCTGTGCTAGCACGGGGAGAAGTGTTAGTATTCATAAGTTTAAAGTATAATATAGTGAAATTATCCTTTAATTCCATATGGTGTGGAAACTCAGGCGCCTCAAAACTATACCATAGATTCACTGCTGCCAAATGGTATGGGGTTTTAAATTAAAATACATTAAAAAAAGAAAAAAGCTCAGAAGAGCCACATTAGGGTGGTTTTGACATGATATATAAGCTCTGTGAAAAAGGCTTTTGCTAAATTCTCGCTAGATTTATTTATTTTGCTTTCTATTACATGCTAACCAGACACCTCTACTATGGAATTAGGTGAAGTGGCTTAGGGATTCCCCCAAGCAAACTGCAGTCCTGAGAGGATGCTGCTCCCTGTAGCTTGGGGCTCAGCTGCCCTTTCATGCTGCCTCACACCTCTAAATGTGATCAGTTATCTCTGTCCTTTGTTCTTGTCCTTCCTGAGATGAAGCAACAGCCATGTTGTTATAGGTTATCCTTAGGAGTGTTTTATGGTTTATGTTCCTCTATCCTTTCATTTCACAGAGACATCTGACGTGCTAGTTATAGCACTATTCCTTTAGCTCTGTCCTACTCCTAAGCCTGTGTATTTGGGTCTACTTTTGCCTTTCACTTGGAATGGCAGAAGGAAGCACAGCAGAGCTGGACACAGCTGAATATTCAGTGCAATTTTGCTGTCACAAAATAGGGCTGAGGGTTTCCCTGGGGCAAAAATAATTCCATTAGATTTCAAGTCACCTAAAAATCTCTCCATGCTCTGAAAGAAGAGTTACTGTTACTGCTACCTATTGCGGCAGTTTCGTGTTGGTGCTTTCACATCTCTTTCGGTATATTCATAATCCTGGCAGTTTCTGGCCAGCTTCTTTGTGACCTTGAGGCCCGAGTTAGCCTTTCTCTCTGTTTTTCTTCCTGAAATGGTCATGCTTAGTGTTATCATATCTTGTGCCTCTCCTCCTTTCCTCCTTCAGTAGCCTTCTCACTTTGTGTGCCTCATGGCAGTTCCCAGCTCTGCATCTGTTCTGCATTGCATTGTAGGGCAGCACAGTGACATGTCTAAAGTTCTTTGTGTATATGAGCGTGTTCTTCTGCAACCCACGATGTGGTGAGTTACCTTGGCCAAGGGCTGAACTCCCACCCAGCCATTCTCTCATGCTTCTCCAGAGTCAGGGAATCCTTGAGGCTGTGCAGGTTCATTGGGAGTCAGCAACAGTCTGTGTTTTTAGGGTTTTGTGCTTTTGAGCTAGGAAACATCTGTGTTTGCTCGTTGTGAAACCCTTTAGATGGATCCCTCCATGGATAAGTTACTCCCACTGCACAATGGAAGCATGGAGTCAAATGGGCTCTTTGCAAACCTCGCTTTGTTCCTCCCTCAGTGTAAATTAAAAGAGTAATGGCTGTCTTGGCAAGAGAAGGTCCTTGGTGAGACACTTGAGTAGACACCATGAGAATTTCATGCTGGCTTTGGTCTCCCTGACACCAATAATACAGGAACAGGAGTTGTCAGTGGTGCGCTTTGAAGGGGAAGCTGGTTTTAGGGTTCCCTTGTACCCCAGAGTAATGCCCAAATGCATGTGCTGTAACTAAAGATCCAGTCTTTCACTTGCAGACCTTTTTTAGCAGCACTATGTTATTTCAACATCATTCTAATTTTAAGTGGCCAAATCTGTGCGAGTAGATCGAAGTGAACTGTTTTCTATCCACATTAAGTGGTCTCATGGGTATTTGTATGTAACTTTAAGTTCTTAAAAGAAGACAATGGGCACATTTCCATGCTTCATTTTTTAATTTAACACAGATTGATGGGGTTTGGACTCAAATGTAAACCCTCAACACTTTGGCATGTGGAGAAACTCAATTTGGAAAAAAAGAAAGGAAAATATGGAAAGCTTATAAATCTAAACTTGGACTTAGTTCTGAGTTTGCTGTCTGGTCTGTGCAGTTCACTTCGTTCCTACAGTTTCAGGCTCGGATATCTTGGTCAGATTCTCTTATTCCTTGTAAATTTTGTCTAGGAAGATGACACCTGCTGGGTTTTTCTTCTCCTCTCTGTAAATAGCTGGAATTTCCAATGTAGGAGAAGTACCAAAATGAGCCATTATGATGAGTCAGCAAATAACTGCTGCATAGAAATTACGCACAAAATAAATTGAGGTTCTAAAAATAAAATGGGAGACTGGAAACAATTCTTCAGGCCCTGGTTGGAAGAAGAGTTTTTCCATCATGGAGTGGATGTTGACAAAAGACTGAGTCAGGGGAACTTGATCCGTTTTCCTTTGGGTGGTTAAATTTTAAACCCAGACCATAAAATTACAGTACACAGTGGCTGTAGATAAGATCAGTGAGTTATAGATGTAGGACTTCTTGAGTTCATTATTCTCCTCTCTGCCTCCAAAACCTGCTACCTAGATCTATTAGATCTGACTGATAGAACGTTCCATTTGAGATAAAAATCTTTTTACTTGAGATTTTCTGGCTGAGCTGTAGAATATTCAGTTTATTTATTAAATTGTAAGTGTTTGACAAATAGCTCCACTTCTTACATTGCATTTTCCTCAAGCTGAGAGCTCACCTGTGTCGTTTTTTGCTGTTGTGCTTGTGCATTGAAACTCAGTTATGTGTCTGAGCCTTTAGCTTTATGTATATTCCCCTTTCTTGTGACTGATTGGGAGCACCCAAAGCTGCCTTTTACTGGAAAGCGGAATAGGAAGCAGCACACACATACCAGACTTGCAGATTTGATTTACTCTTACAGTAGTAGGGATGAACTGATGATAAGCATTAGGGTGAGAATGCTTTGTGCACCCCATTAGTGAACCTGGGGGAGAGCAGCAATGTGTAGGGGTGGGAACGTGTGCCTGGGAAGTAGAGCACAAGTTCATGTCTTGTTTGTGTGCACCTATCAAAGAGAATGTGTGTGAATTTTCATATGTGTGTATGTGCAGCACGTTCTGGGAGAACTAAAAAAGAGAAGAAAAGGGAAAGAAGTTGCTGGAGAATGTTCATGGAGACGAATTTGTCTCTGGTCATGACATGGAAATGAGTGGGATTATCTATTCCTGTACAGTCTGAATAGAAACTACTATGAGTGTATTAGTAATTAGAGCAAGTTAGGAGGAGCTTGTTGTTATTTGTTATATCGATATCAGTAAGTGTAGTAGGTGTCTCATGAAATACTTCACTAGGTATCTCACTGTTTTCCCTGTATTTACATCTGCTGCCAGTATTTATGCATGTGATTTTAAATCTGAATTACCTAAACTGACTTTTGCCAGTATTAGCTTCAAGAGTAGCCAGTATTTGCAGGAAGTTAGCTTAAACAGAACATCAACAAGGCTGAAACAATGTTTTAATACATTCAAGCAAGATTTGTATATATATTAAATGAAATATATACATTTTTTCAGCATTGCTGTAGATGTAGTTAATATTTTCCTTTGCTGTATGTATGTATGTGTGCTTGTGGACATGTGTGCAGTGTGTGGATATGGTAAATGCTCGTTATGATGCTGCTGTAGCACAGTCCATGGTGTAAGAGAAAGCCAGTATGTGATCAATTGTATTGAAAATCCAGTTTGTAACTTTATGGTATATTTTAATTCTTACAACTCCAGCAAAATTGATTAAGGCTGATTCGAAAGGCAATACCAGTCTCATGCCTGTTAAATTAGATCATGTTGTCTTATGAACCCTGAGGTTGGTCACGAGTTTAGTAGTACCAGGTGATTTAGGGGCTGGTGCAGCAAAAAGCCTTCCTGAGTGATGGCTTCTCCTTCCCCTGGCAGAGTTTCATTGATCTGAGATCTTTGGAACTCATGGTGTAATGAGGGAGGGATTGATTCTGTGTGTGATATGATAACTGTAAAATCTGTATCAATGGCATAAATAGCTTGAGAAGTCTAAAAGTTCCCAAAGTGAAGATCTTAAATTGTGATTTCCTTTGGATGTGAATGTTCCCTCCCTTTGGCTGTGGGGTCTCTGTGCCTGAGCTTGCTTTACTGTCTGCATTCATGGTCTCGCCAAGACGCTGCCTTGACACCAAGGCTGTGCCATGTCAGTGCCAAAGCCACATAAATGCTGCTTTGTGCAGATGTGGGGTTGGGCTGCAGAAGAGTGGGGGATAAGGGGACGTAACCTGAACCAAACTAAACTCTTGCTGGTTTTGTTCTTCTTTCCTGCAGCTCAAGCCAGGTCAGAACAGTTGCCGAGACAGTGACAGTGAAAGCGCCAGCGGGGAATCGAAAGGTTTCCATCGAAGCAGCTCTCGGGAAAGACTCAGCGATGTAAGTAAAACTCATATAGCCAGATACTGCTCAACCCTGGTCTAGTGTTCTAAGGGGGGTAAGTTGTAATGGGATTTAATTGCTGGGATGGTTTGTTGCTAAAATCCCCTTCCCTTTGGGGGGCTGGGAGAGGAAGAGGTAAGTTAGGTCTTCTGCCCCAGTGGGGTAAACTTCTTAGAGTCTGGTACAGTGTCCATTTGTGTGAAAGCACTCATTCATTTTGCAATAGTTGAAGGCCATTTAACGAAGTTAAAATGTTCTGCATAGTTTAGAAGTGAGATGGCCTCTCTTTACCCCAAGTGGGGAAGGAAAAGAATGTATTTCTTTGGGCTAAATAATGTCTTTATGAAAAGTATTAAGAGTGTCTGGAGACTCACCTAATTTGTATGTAATGAATTGATATAACATGGCCAACAATAGCATAAGCTCTGCCTTTATTGCTCTGCCTAAACTGCTGTGGAAGGTTCTAAGATGGCAGCTCTGTGGAGAATGTTTTTCTCTCTTGAAGAATGCTGGCCATTGACTGAATGACACGCCAGAGTTATTCTGACATATGAATGACTACAGAAATCTTTCTGTTGCTGCAATTAGATTGTAATTTATTATGTGTACCATCACAATCCTTGAGTGTTTTATTCATGGCTCTGGGTCCTCTGTGCTACATGCTATGCAACACAGAATATAAAGACAGCCCTGTCCCAAAAGAATATCTAAATTGGGAATTTTATAGATCAGATCCTTTGCTGGGAAAAGCATGGATAGCTACATCACTCAGACCAATTTGTATCAGCCAGCAATCTGGCCCTACATTTAACTAACCCACATTTTGGAAATGGGGATTTTATCGATAGCATGTCCATGTAGATTTGGATGATGGATACCAGATGGTGTCCTCTATAGGCCAATCCAATAAAACTGAATTGAGCAGACATTACAAGAAATACCTTTGTAAGGGATACATTTTGTTGTGCAAATTCAGGGCCTGAGGCACGCAGCTAGCAGGTTTTGCTGAGTTGTGCATATCACTGACACAGCCACCTGATCTTGATTTTAATTTCCTGTGAAGGTGTGAATCTGTAGCACTCTCTTTCCTCACTGCTTTGTCACAGTAGTTTAGAGGTCCAGTTCCCCACCAGAGCCAATCTTTATGGGTACAGCCATGTAGATACTTCAGAACCCTGCCCTTTATAGCTATCAGGTATGATTGGAAGAGGAGAATAAAACCAGAGGAGATGGTCAGTACCTGCTCTGTGCAGGTAGCAGTGGATGGCAGCTGACCGTCAGCCTGCCCCTGTTGCCATCCTAGCTTGCTCTGAGCCCTGTGGCAGCTGAGAAGCTGTTGCAATGAACAATTACACAGCACCTTCCAGCAAAACATTTCACAGCTTCTTACAAACATGGTTTTAATTTAGCCTTGTCACTCCCCTGCCATGTACTCAGTGCACAGCTCCAAGGCTTATTTGAGCTTCCCAGCAGCTCATAGCATTGCACTGCCAGACGTGGCAGTGAGAGCAGAGTCCTGGTTCCCCTTCCACTGATCAAATACAGTTTTTCCTCTGATGTTTTTACAATAACTTTCTCTTTGTCTTGGCACTGTGGCAAATGAAAAGGAAGTGGAGAGCAAATACAACTTCCCTTGTGCACACAAGAGAGGAGGCAGGGATTCACAGGTTGCTCAAAAGCAATATTATGTAAATATATGTGACAATATACATTTCAAAGTGTTATACATAATTCACCTTTTACTTAATAAGTAAAGTTCTTCTATGCTTTGATAATTCATTGCAGTACAAGCATGCCTCTCTGGTCTGGAGTTGCCAGTTCAGTTGAGATTTGAAACCCATGCACGTGAGAGCTCTCATCTTGCCTGAGTGTGTTGTGGCTTCTCCCAGACTCTTTGTTAGGAAAAGTAAACACTGTTCTGCAGTTCTTCCTGCCAAAGGCAAACACCCCATGCTGTTAAATGGCAGGGCCTTAAGTGGAGGTGATCCTTTCACTGCCAGCTGTGGGTGAACCTGCCTTGAACTGTCCTGTTAGGCACAAAGATGCATCAAGGGCTTTATCAGGTTATTTTATAGGAGTTGTCTAATGATAACTACCAAACACTGTCCAGATAAAACTACAGACCAAAGAGTAAGTTTTCTCTGAAGATCCTTTTCTGGTTTAGCATCTATTTCATCAGGACAAAAAAAAAATGTGCCAGAAGTTGTGTACTCAACAGAAGATAGAACAAAACTGAAAAATATTGCAGGCAGGTTAACCCTGAGGTCAGTAGGAAATTTTGGACATGAAATATAATGGGTTCCCACTAATGCAGCCTGACATCATTGTAAGTTGAAGCGTGGCTACTGCATGGGAATCTGTATAATGAATGAAGTGCATGTACTCTGGGTGGATGATCAATTTTCACATCCCTAGTTGTAAGCAAGCTGTTGAAATAGAAATGTTAGCTTCCCGAGCTTTAATGCGGAGCCTAAGTGATAGCTTAGTGACAGATGCAGAATGGGGGAGATAGTTTAATGAATATCCAGTTGCAAACTGACATGTCAGTGGCTTCATTCCCTCTCCTGTCAGATATCTTTCAACTGTGCATATTGTAAATGTACCTACAGTCTTTGGGCAGCGGAGATTGATGCAAAGCATGTTTACAAGGGGTGACTCCTTTCCAGGCTAATGAGATCCAAGCAGGTAATTTGCAGCTTGTTGCAAGAGAGGTGGTCAAAAATGAAAAGAAGATAATTCAATGAAAAGACCACGTTAAACAGGAGTCTTTCCTCATAATGAGGCTTGAAATAGCGTCAGACAGTAGGGAGAAGAATGTTCTTGTCAGATGCAATGCAGTGAGACTGATTTCCATCAACTCCTTTCTTTGTCTTCATCTTGCACACGTGGACACACAGGCACACACCCCTCTGTGGGAGAATATAATTAGCAGAGATCTTGACCTCTGCTAGATGAGGGATAATTATTGCTCGAGTGCTCCATTGCAAGTGTTTGACAGTGCCCTAACACATCTCCCCCTTTGAATTTCATAAACCCATCTCTCTGCCTTTCTCCCTGATATAGTATTTTTTTGGAATGACAACTTGTTTTTTCCTTTATGGGCAGAGGTAGCTCGAGGGGCCTAAAAGAGAAATTGGAAAGCTGCTCCTCCTGTATATATAGGGTGCTGTAGTCAGTTTAATCTCATCAAAATCTTGCCAGTAGTAGAATTCATTTTGTTGAGATTTTGCTTGGAGACAAGATGGCAGAGCTTGCTCTTCTCTTCAGCTTGGAGCTCACTCAACTGTTTTCCTTATCTTTCTGTATGTATTTAGTTTTAATTGACTCTTCTCACTTTTGGAATACAGGGGTACTTTTTAGCCATGTTTTACAAAGCAGCCTGGAGATGGCTTGAGGAGAACATGAGAATTACAGCTAACCTGGATGGTAAACACAGAGAGCGTTAAGCCACCCCTTTGCTATTCAAAGACAAATCAAACCCCCTGATTTCTTTGGTGCATGTTCCTGAATTCCTTATCTACCACAGAACTGAAGCTCACACTCAGTGAAGTCATTGCCGGTGCTGTTAAAAATCTGATGGCCATGAAGTGTGAACCTTGCTCCTTGGTCTGATAATGATGATGTAGTGATGGTGCAAGCCTGCACTGACTGGAGAAGCCTGAGGTGCTTAGGCCACCCCTAGCCGTTCCTGCTCCTGCTGGTGTGGGTTCTGGTGAGGCTTTCAGCAAGGGATCAGCAGAAGAAGCCTCTCATGTGTGGTCATGGCCTGGGCAGCAGCACTGGTCTTCCACAAGCATAGCCTGCCTGGCCTCTGCTTGTTTCTGCTGCACAGGGAAACTCAGGCTGGCACCATTCTGTCTGGAATATTGTTCCAGTTCTTAAACAGGGAGTGGAGCAGGAATCATTCCCCTCTGTCAAAGGTCTCGCCTTGGGCTCACATCAAGGCTGACATGCTCTTTCATGAGTGCTTACCTTTCCCCAGTGCTTTGTAGCTCTGCACTCCTACTGCATTGTGTACTTGGCACTTGATAGGTTCCAGTGAGGTTGCAGTGAGGAGTAGGTCCTACAGTGCCCTGCCCACCAGATCTGCTGCTGTCTGAATTAGGAAGAAAGCTGTCCACACACCCAGTAATGTAATCCTATGGGCAGCTCACAGTTTTGGCCTCAAACATGGGCTATTTCAATTCTCTGTCTCCCATTCCTCCCACTATGCACTGAGCCCAAGGAAAGACAAATTGAGAAACACTCTTTGGGTTATGTGCTCTGAAATCCTCAGTACTTTGTCTTCTCCAGAATATCCCCAGTAATCTTGGCTGTATCTAAAGTGGAATAACACCAGCACAGCTCTGTGTGTGTTTTTGCCTGTGTGTGTGTGCCAGAAGCTGATCAGCTGCAGCGCCTGCTGCTTTGTGTGTGTGTATGCGAGGGTGTGTATGTGTGTGTTTGTGTGTCTAAGGTTGGGTGCTTAAATGCTTTGTTGCATTATGTTAATTCCTCGGCAGTGCAATCAAATTCATGTCGTAATTAAAGCTGTCAGTTGGAAGGCAAGCCAATCGCCACGAAAACACAGCATAACAAATGAAGTGAAATGATTCTGCGTGTAGCTATACAATGCTTCGCCAGGCATGAAATTAAATAAGTAATTTGATGTTGACATCAGAAATTGAAATGATACCCACTGTTCCTTCATTCAGTCAGACCTGCATAAACAATAGCCAGAACAAATATGTACAACACAGGCTTTCTCCCCACCCAGCTCCCCAAGTAATGCACAATATATATGCAAAATGGGTAGAACTGTGCCTTCCAAGACCTCAAGGATGTAATTTTCTTTGGTACACAATAAACTAATGCTTGCACGAGGGTTACTACGGTTTTGATCTTGGGCCAAAAGTTGTTCTTTTTAAGAAAGGAAAGAAAATGAAAAAAAATACTCTTTTTCATTACAGAAGGAAAATAACAAAACCAAAACCCTGTTAATTCTAAACAAGTGACTTGTGTTTTGCTGATGGGCACCTGACGCAGGCTTCTGCTGGTGGTTGTGTGAATATCAAATAGTGTATCTAATGTCGAATTGTGCAAAGGGTTTCGGAAAGTGAAACCATTACCTCTATTATAGGCACACTTTATATAAGAGATGTAGGACCACGACTCAGCATGGGCTTGTAAAGATGCTGCATACACAGTATCACTGTCAGCAGTTGGTACCAGGCTGGGCACGGGGTGGTAGGATCCTTTCGCTATTGGGAGTTATCACAAAAGGTGAGAAGCTGTCTTCTTGCATAGCCCTCGCTTCAGCCTCTCTGCTCTGTCCACACACAGTTCACAGCACAGCTGACTTAGTCATCCATGCATGTGCAATGCAGTCTTTTGTCCTCCAATTCAAAAGAGTTTGCAAATCGTACGGTCCATATGCAGCATGCAGTGTGTGCAGGGCTCTATTTCCATCCAGCAAACTCAAATTCCCTGGAAATGCACAGTTGTTTCTTTTCAGTGGAAGTCATTCGACTGCTGTGTTTCGACTGTCCTCCCATAGCCATTGCAGCATCGCTTTTGAAGGAATGGAAATATTCAGTGGGAAATATTTTGTTTGCTTATTCTTTTTTTCTTCCTTTTTATGGTTTTGTTTTGATACTTGATCCTTCCAAACTTGGAATAAAAAGCAGACAAAAATGACACACAGATGCAGAATGCAAACTTTGGAGCTTTCAGCTTGGAAAGTAAGTTTGAGAAATTGGGAGTGAAAGAGTGGGACTCAATTGGCATCCATCCATCCCTCAAACAAAAGCAGTTCTAATGATTGCACATGTTGTAATTCTGTGGGTAGGTTTGTAGCTTCAATGAAAAGAGTTTAAATAGCATGAAGCAGAAAGAGTGAGCAAAGCAAAGGGCAAGAAATCTGATGTGCTTGACCAGGGAAGTAAATGCATTAGATACTGCACTGAAGGGTGCTGAAATGTGCTGTCCAGAAGGTATTGCAGATCCGCAGTCTGCAGGCACAGTGGCTCACAAGCCGTACGTGCCCATGAAGGGAACCTTCTAGCTGGAAGCAGTGTCTGGGCTATGTGATGAAGGGGGCTGTGGCAGTTGCCAGGTTATTCCCAGCTGTGTGGTCACAGGGATGTAGAGGGAGGTAGAGCACTTTGGCTGAGCCCGGGGGTGCTGTGTTCCCAGATCTGAACTGCCCATTGCTCTGCACCACCCAGTGATTGCTGCGGAAGCACTTTCAGGGGCATTGTCACTGGACCAGTTGGGTCTTGCTGTGGGTGATTGTGGCAGAGGAAGTTTGAGGCCCCAGAGCAGCAAGTGTGGGGCTAAAAAGACTTGGGAATTCATTTATTTCTGTGGAGCTCACCTTACATGCTGGTGACCGAGCCTGTAGGCTGCAGCTCTTGAGGCCTTCAGGGGCCATAAGAGAGTACTAACGTACTAAGAGAGAGTACTAAAGGAGCAGGAGCCACAAACCTTCCAAAGCTGTGGAGCAGTTTAGTTTGTCACAACAGCATTTGTTGATTTGATAGTATTTGGTACCCTCATGACAACCAAGGTGATTTCCTCTAAATAAATCTCTTCTAATGTCTTAAACCAGAAGGCTTTCCCCTATGTGTACATAACCTCTCAAACCTCTCTTTTCGGTAGTGCTTTGGTGAACACACAGTAATATTCTGATTATTTACGATGAATTTTGGTGTTAATTTGAAATTTCTTTGCACAATCTGATTCTGCCAGAAAACAGATTTCATCTTTCAGTAAAAAGATCCCATAAGCCCGTGTTTGGGGCTAATTTTTTATCATGCAAGTGCTGCACTCGACAATCAGAAATCAGAGAATTTGCTCTTAGGGTTCCCTGGAATAGTGTCTTGGAACAGGGATGACAGTGGTGCAAACTCTGCATGTTTCCAAGGTTTTGATGCACAAAGGCCCCTGTTCAGTTCCTGGTAATCACTGGGCTGTGTCTTTAGTGGAAGTGAGGTTGTGCTGTGGAACAGGAATTGAGCTCTAGGAGTTAAAGACTGGTCATCTGGACTGCCCACTGTTTGCTAAAGAACTGATTTGCTTCCTTGTCTGTTGAGCAGCCTGGCTTGAGTGCTTCAGGTGACGGGGCTGTAGTGCTGGAAACTGTTCACCCTTTAATGTAGTAGGCAGTGACCTGGATCAGGACTGGGGTGGTTAGGTCTCTCACCATGGCTCTGAGAGAACCTGCTGTGTAATCCCTATTGCTTAGATGAAAAACTAAAACTACCCCCTTGAAACAATGATGATGAAACAACCCCCTTTATCTCCTTAATTCCTGTGAATACAGAGGCTGTGATTGTGCCCCACTTAACCTGATTGTCATGATGCATTTTTTAAAGCATTTAAACCTTTCAAGTATTTTTCATGGTGGTAATATTAGTTTTAATTATTTTTATGGGTTTGAGTTTTGAAATTTATTTCTCACTGTAGATATTGCTTGTTTGTCTTATTCTTTTAAACCCTTTTGGTTTGTCAAAGACTGTGGCCATCCAAACGGGAAGCTGTAGTGACTGCCTTCTCCAGGCAGTGGTGCAGCAAGTGAAGCAGCTTCCCTGTGCCCACATGTTCTTTACATTTCAGACTACTAATTATGTTTACAAAATGTCTCATTTTAGGAAAGCACTATGTGTGTACTAACCGGGGCCTTTCGGGAATAAATTGGCAAACAGGTCAGACACTGCAAAAGTCATCCAAACCCACCGGGCTTTTTGTTTTGAAGTCAGTCTATGGTTTTTTTCCTTTCCCCCCTCCCGCCTGCCCCTTTGTGGCCACAAAGCTGAGTAGCTGGAGTCCAGGGCATTGAATGTCAGCATGTCAGGGAGGCTGGTTGATGAGTGTCTGTTTAGTCTCAGTGCAGGGCGAAATGCCATCATTAATTCATTACCCAGCTGCCTGTCAAATAAATTGGCAATTACGTCCACCGCAGAAGCTTGGAATTCAGTAAATAGCACGTTACCATCTCCGACTCGTTGAGAGATGTAAAGGGAAAAATTAAGCAACACCATGTTTGTTTCAGTAGCAGATGACAAGGGGCAGCACATTGGTGCTGTGATGTAGTGATGAAAAGCTTGGAAAGGGCTGGTAATGAGCTGTGTGGATTGGAACGTGTTAAAAACCATCACTGACTTTCCACTTTGTCTTTGTGTTTTATTGCAGAGCTCAGCTCCTTCCAGCTTGGGAACAGGCTACTTTGTAAGTGTATCTCAGCTTTAACACATTGCCTCTGAACAGCACAACATTACTCCTGAAACCAAAGTGCCTTATTATATGGAAACAGGAATAAATAACCAATCTTAGTCTGCTTGATAGGTTAACTTCTCTTTCTCTATTTCTTCCTCCACAAATGCATTGTAAGTAATATTTCAGACATGGTGGTCAGTGTTTTCCTGAACTAATCAGGTGTCATACTAATTACTACATACATTCCAACGGTATTTAATTTGCACAATTATACCAAGTAAAATGAACTGTGGTTTTACCAGCTCTCTAATCTGAGATGGTAGGGTCTTAATTTCATCATGTACTGGTTCTCATTGATGCACAGGCTTCAAAGAGCTTCTTTTGGCATTCTTGTCTCACCTCCTGTGCACCACAGACCGGAGAACGTGACACAGTGATTTCCATGTGTTGGTTACAAGCCCCATGTCTCACAGATCATTTGGGAAAACACAGCTTGTTTGTATTGTATTTATGCTAGATTTGCATTTAATGTCATGAGAAGAGGATCAGGCCCCAGCTGGTTTGATAATTGATCGGTCTGCTTTTGTTATTTATTTGCATGTCCCTTTATTGATTTAAGAGTCTATATTCCTACTTTTCTATCTGTTTATTTCCACATTCATCAATGTGCATTTTACTTGCACAGGTAAATATGGGAGTGAAAACTGTTTTCCAGTCAATCCAATGCACTGTTTATTTTCTTTCCAGATTTGTATTTAAATTGCTCATACTCTGTTTCACTGGTAACGTGTGTCATACTCTCCAAGCACTTCTTTTCTGCCTTTATAATATCTGTAGGAGAAATAGAGCGTTATGCATGTCAAAAACAGGTGGGTAAAACACAGTGAGACTTTTTCCTATAGCATTGCCCAGTGTGGTTAACAGCATAATCAAAGTCTGCTTTTATCTTTTCATCAAACTCTGGGGAAAAGAAAACTATACAGGATTTGATTACATGGTGGGAAAACTTTGTTGCTCTCTTGTCAGATTCCCAGAGAGTAATTTTCTTCATTAGTACATGGTGAAATTTAGTCTTTTTTTTCATAGAGGTCTGTGATCCTATAAGGAAGTTATGGGATTAAACTGGGTACGTGTGACCTTACGTATAAAGTGTAAAATGCAAGCACCAAAATTGCTTAATACCTGGAGAAATGTCATGTCCTGCTGGATTTACACTGGGCTTCTGACAGACTGACTGTTTCTACTGGTGCCAGGGGTGAGGTCTGAAAAGGGCATTATTAGTTGACAACAGTTTTGTGGTACTTCTTCTAATTGTACGAAAGCCCAGATCTATGTAAGGTAAGTTGTGAAACAGGAAAAAAATGGTTTTCTTTTTCCAACACTTCCCCTCTTTTGTGTCATGTGTTTTTTAGAGGGAGGGGATGAAGGGAATAGTAATACCAAATGACTCAACGTTTATTTTGTGTTAAGACTAAAGCTTGAATGTCTTTCCATGGTTCAGAACAAATTGATTTCCTTTCTCTGAGCACTTAAAATTCAAATCATATGAACATATACAGACATGCTCTGGAATGGGACAAATATAATCTGGGATGGAAGGCTTAAACGTATTTAAATAAGCCTTGTTCTCCTTATAGCGAGAGCTGAATATGTATGGTTTAAGAACAATGTTCAGCTTCGTCTTTAGGAAGTAGAGGTAGCAGAAGAAAAGCCATCTGCTGTTCCCTTGCACCATACTGTCTGTGGGTTGGTCCAGTAAAGTGAAAATCTGGAAGGTGTCAACATCCCCTATGCTCCAGTAAAAAGCTTGAAAGTTTCCAGTTCTCCCAAGTTAGGGATTTAGTAACAAGAAGAAGCTTGACATCTTCTAGTGCCAATGTATTGTCACTTTGCATCACACTCATTTGGATCTGTGTAGGTGGGCCAGACATCCCTTATTAGTTTCCATTAATATGGTATATTTAACTGTGCTGTTCCTTATCTCTAGTCACAGTAATAAGATTTCTTTAACATTCTTTCTTCACTAATAGCTGAATAGATAGAAAACGTCCTTCAGTTTCTGTCTTAAAGTCATTTTTACACTTAAAGCAGATTTGGATGAAACATGGAGGGTTGGTTTTTTCCTTCCTTTTCACTTTGGAAAATTGTTTTTAGGATTATCTTGCTTATTGTTTGGAAAAAGTCTGTCCTCTTATTAACTTACATGGGGCAAATAAAACCCAGATGTGTTTTGTGGTACCAGACAATGAGAAAAATGCTCCAGAATGCTCCAATTAGCATGTGTTTCTGATCAATGTAATCATTGTAGTATCAAAGTGCAAAAGAATATGCACTTGAATTGGCTTTATTTTCCCCAAAGCTTTTAACTGGAAAAGATGGTTAGTTTTTGTGCTTAGTGTGACACAGAACATCAAAACAAGGTTTATTGGTCTCAAATACAACAAAAATAGTTTTCAGTTTGATAGATAATAATAAAGCTTTTGCCTGTGGAAGTTATTGATCACTGTATTTTGTACTTTGGACTGTGAAATACTACCTACTGTAGCACATGAAAGGAACACAGGCAACCAGGTAAGTTAAAATAGATAAACAATAGAGTCACTGTCTAAGCGTATCTACTACAGAAAGCAGAACCACAGATGGAAGCAAATTCAGAATTGAATGAACACTGAGGGATGGATTAAGTAGCTTGTGTTTGCTGTTTAAATTCAAGTACTGATGGAGCCTTTGTGTGTTTAGACCATATTACCTAGCACGTATGTAATGTTGGACCTGGAATCTTCTTTAAGAACCACTCTTATGCCAGTCACTCAGGTTTGATGAGTGGTGGGTCATGTGTGTGCAGTGTTTGTGGATGCTACAACAAAGCAAAAAGTAGTTTTGGATCCTTTTATTCTATAGAGAGCCTATAGAAACCTGCCACTTCCCAGTAATACAAATTCAATTTTGTAGTATCTTTGTGATAGTTCCCTCCTAGTAATTCATTATGTGCTTCCAATAGTAGTGGTGAAGGCTGAAATCTTGCCTAATTTCATGCTGTAACTAGGTAAATACCTGACTGGCAGAGTTGGAGACTGCATTTTTACATTCTTTTTGCCTCTACATCAGTGTTCCTTGAAAAGCAGTAGGTAAAGGGAAAATGTGCTTGCTCTGGGGCGGGCATTTGTTTTGCCTGCTTTGAGAACCCATCTTTGCTCTGAAGTCAATGGAGAGGGCTGGGAATCTCCATGAAGGGAGTCAGCCTCATTCGTACCTAACTGGGATGATCAGAGCTGCCATTTATAAAGCAGACTTTCTCATGAGGTATCTTCAGGAAAGCAGGACACATGCATGTAACCACTGAGTGAGTGTTAGTGATGCAGAGCTGTTAAGGAGTTCCAAGTACCTCCAGGAGTTTTGTTCAGTTAGGAACAACTTGTACTTCTTTCACAAGTGCTGGTATGTTCTGGAGGTTTTGTTGCTGGAATCTGGTCTTGGCACTAATTGTCAGAGTGGACACGTCCCTTTCCTTTTTACATACTATTAAATCAATAATCATAGAAGAAACAGGGATAAAAATCATTCTAATTTGCCTCAGAAGCCTTTTGCACAGACCTGACTTTCTTGTTTTCTATGGGACCAGTCCAGTGCATGTTCAGTGCAGGTGAAAGAAGATTGGATGTGTGGTTGGTCCACCCTGAGAATCCCAACTAAATGCTTGTGGAAGATCTCCCAGTTGTCTTTGACATTTGTTGCATTGCAAATTGTCACTGTCATGAAAGATAGAACCTAAGGTAGATTATGTTTTGCCCAGAAGTCAGATCAGATAAATGGAAAGGAGATAGAATTTTAGGGAAAACCCCAGCATTTTAGCTTTGAAAGTTATTTGAATTACATGAGCTTTTAATGTCCAACCCTCCGTGATTTCAGGTGTTTGAGAGAGATGGTTTAGAGTATGGTTGGACCTTGGATGATCACAAAAGCTTTTTCTCTTCTCTTACTCTGGAGAATGCTTATTGCTGTATTTTGGTGTGTGTCTCACACTCAGGCAGATTCGCATTAAAGGTTACAGGTGGTTCACTGGTTTGCAGCACAAATCAGAACAGAAATCAAAACCTAAATAACTGACTATTGTATTTTTAAATGCCAAACCCGTTTCCCAAGATTGGCAGGTTCTTTGGCCATTGGAGTTTCTCTGTTTATGGCAGTTTGATTCCATTCCTTTCACTGATCTGCTCCTCAAGTCTTTGTGGCAATTTCTGAGGGTTTTCTGTTCCTATTTCTTAATGCTTATTTTTAGCTAGCAGGTTGTGTCCCAGAAAGGAGAGAGTTTGTGGATATTTCAGTGCTGGACAAAATTTGGTGACAAGCTGGTGATGGAAATAGTATTGGGAAGGGAGAACCTAACTCCTGTGGCACTTCTTTTCCAAACAGTGCTCTTGCTCCACCTTAAAAAAAGGAAGAAAAAGGAAAAATGTGATTTGCACATGGGCTGGTGACTCAAACAAATATAAATTGTGAGCATATTCCCAAAGGCTCTAACTAATCAGTTGTGCTATCCAATTTGGCCCTGAGTGGGTTCAGTTCAGCAGATGTTTGTGTAGTTACAGCATGCCACTGGGACACTGTGTTGTGCAATGTTGCATTACATTACTCAGAGCTCTAAAAACTCATCCCAAGGAGACTTAAGTGGAGCACCAGTGGTATTACTGGGGAGATGATGGAAAACCAGTGCTTGGCCTAGATAAGGCTAGTTATTTCACTATGCAATAGGACTGCTTTTTGCCCCAGACATTAACTTACAGAAGAAATGTGGAATTAGTTATACCAGCACATTTTCTAGGCTCATATTCTCGAATAGAGTCCTTAAACCCAGTAGATTTTTCCTTCATCGTCATGCAATGGCAGTGATCCTATACAGCCTATATTTTGTTCCTTGAGGTGGTCAACTTTGTGGTGATGTTGAGGCTCCTCTGATGGGAGTGTGCTAAGAGACTCCACTCTAGGAGAGTAAAGTAAGACCCATTAGTTCCCAAAGGAGAGAAACAGATTAGATCAAAAGTCTCATTCAAAAGAGGTTTAATACACGCAACCAGCTAATGTTACAGAGGGGATACAGTACTTTACTTCACATCATGTAGACAGTG